ATAATGGCTTTTGTCTTTCCTCATTACTAAAGTGGACTAGAAGAGTGTGGCAACCCCCTGCCTTGCGCGCTCTCAGGTCCCTCCTGCCACTGTCTCCTTGGGGTGGCACTCTTCCCTTGATGTCACACATCCCAGCCACTCTTATCTCTTTAGCAAAAGCACCTGGCACTGCCCAAGCTGCATGCCTGTCTGTCCTCCCCACCCTCCCCCCTGCAGGATTTTGTGAGCTGTGCCCAGACCTGGGGCTCCCCTGGCCTGGAGTGCTCCCCATCAAGACATAAGAGGCAAATGCCCAGCCCAAAGCAAGGCAGCTCTCCACAAGCTTGCTCTCTGTTCTCTAGTGAAGATGGCTCCTGCCCTCTCATGGCTGAAGGCAGATATGTAAATCAACTTGTTTGTTCTTCACAAAGAAAAACCAAATGCCATTGCATGTGTTTCCCTCAGCCGGCTCCACGCAAGCTGGCATCTCCCTCCTTTAAAATACACATTGAGGTAACTGGGGAGCTCTTCTGGGGCAGAGACCATCTGCTTGCTGCAAGCAAGCACTCAGGAATGCTGGGCTGCAATCCCCAATCGTGATCTCAAGATGTTACCAAAGTGCAAAGGATAGGTAATATGTAAAGAAAGGCACTTGTTCACTCTTTTCACACAGTGCTGCTCTTTTTCTGCCACTTAATCCACCCTTCCTGCATCTGTCCTGCTCTGAGCAAGAAGAATTGCATGGGTTTCTCTGATTCACAAAGCAGATTTTTGCCAGTTGACTAAAGATTACGGTTGGTGGTGTGAATGAGATGAAGTTGTCCACCATGTCCAGCTTGTTCAGTGCTCCTCTCCCAAACCACATATCATTAGAGCTTGTACTGTTTTGTACTGTTTTGATCCTTTTTTTTTTTTTTTTTTTTTTTGGATAAAGTTCAGAGTGCTTCTCATCAGTGAACACGAATCCATGAAAAACGAGCTTCTCAGAAAATCTCCACTTCATAGGTTCTTGCCATCTCATCTCCAAGTGTGACTCAAGCCCAACGCCCCACCAGCTGTCCTGAGCACACCCATGCCATCCTGTTCTCACAGATCCCTCCAGGCACCAGAAGCTCTCCCCAGAGACCCCCTTTTCCTTCAGAGCTTGCTTCCAGCAGGAGACCTGTACCACTCCTCAAAGACAGTCAGGAAGGGGGCAATGTGAAATGCCAGAAAACTGAAGCCTAGAAGTGGCAGACAACCAACTCTCTTGATTTCTTGGCACTGATTGTGATTTCCTGGCCACCCAAAATGCTCAGTTTTCCTCCATCTCAACATGGGAAATAGCCATTCCGATGTCTAAATGAAGTAATGTTCCTTAAGAGATGAATTATTTTTTTTGAGCATCATAAAAGCGGTGAGCATTAGCAGAAGCCATCTGGGCAAAACTCAAGCTCTCTCCATAATGCCAACTTCACCAGGGCTTGTGCATGAGGCAGGAGAAAGGGGTTGCTCTGATATAGTTTGGTCTTAGGAACCTTTTTTCTTTAAACCACTGTTCTTAATTCTTTCTGTGTTAACTGACATTGTGTGATTCAGGCATGGAGATAACTTCCACTTACCAAATATTCCTGTTCTTTTTGCACCTGTCATGTTTTTGCTGAACTTCTGGCAATCAAGGTCAAAGTTGAGAACCAGTATGACTTCCGTGACATAGCCAGCATCATAGCCATGGCAAAGACCTACGCCACCTCCGAGCCATTCATCGACTCCAAGTATGACATCCGAATCCAGAAAATTGGCAACAATTACAAAGCTTACATGTGAGTGTGTGGCTATGTCGGGGTGAGATGCGGGGAGACATTGCTGGGGATGCAATTCATTCAGTGTCTGGGCAGGAACAGGAGGTTGACTTAATTTATTTGAAAAATGGCCCCATTGTTCTCCTCCCACGTCTGAATTTAGACCCCTCTGCCACTGATCGTCCTTGTTACTCATCATCATTGTCACTGGAAAATAAACCCTTCTCTATCTGTTGCTGAGCTTCACTTCATTTCCACTATAAAAACCATGTTCTACCACCGCTTCCCACCTCCACCTTTCCTTGCGAAAGGGGTCATCATATCCAGCCATTTAGTAAACCCCTCCATCTCCCTGTGTCTTCCTGTGGGAATCAAACCCACCACCTTCCCAGCTGGACACACAATAAAAAAGGGGAAGCAATAAAACAAGAGGGATGTCCCAACAGCACTGGGGAGCTGAAAAGTTTATCAGAGCTGGTTGCACCTTCTGGAGTCCTACCGTGTCCAACCTATAGCAGTGCCCTGTCTCCTCCCATGCCAGAGCTCATGGCACCATGCTCACAGAAGGGTGTGAGAAGCATGCAGCACCAGGTAAGGATGGTCTCAATTTGGTTATCATGCTGGGTTTCCTTCGGCATTTTGCATGATTGCTCCCTGAAGCATACAAAGGAGGGGAAAGAGGAGGACAGATATTTCTGCAGGTGCCCCACAGCTCCTCCCTGCTCTGCAGGGTAATAAGGGAGTGGCACGAAAGCAACACTAAACACTGGTGCGTCTGAAAATATTAAAAAGTGCTCGGCCAAATATCAGTAGTCGTCAAGTCAAGCTCAATTGAAGATGTAACCACATGACTCAACAAAACACCTGTTTCTTTTTACTGCAAATCGTTAGACAAGCAAAGCCAAATAGCACGACTTCTCCAGCAATACCACTCTTTACTCAGCTGCAAAATTCAGGACAAGTAGACAATTCCAGCAGTGCATTCTTCAGATCACCAGATACATTTCATGTCTTACCTAAGACCAGCAGCACTGTGAGTTGCAGGCCATATAGCTCTGGTGCAAATGTAGTTAAGTAAGATAATCAAAAGCATGTGCTCACACATTTTTCAGTTCTAGCTGTCTGGTTGGATTCCTAGCACAGAGGTATTTAAATTAGCTAGATAATGACTTCTTGGGAAGGACCTGTGGGACACTCAGCTACTTCATATGAACCCAATGAGAGAAATGCTGTTTTAAATCTGATCAGGTTGACAACAGTTCAAATTGGCCAAAGGAAAGAAGGTATTAAATGTCCATTAAAATTCCCTGTTCCTGCCAACCTACGCAGCCTTGGGTCCTTAGTCTGCTCCCAGCTTGTCCCTGTGAGAAACAAGGACCCAGTTAGTCTGACCATGCCCTGTCCCTGTTTATTATTCACACCCACCGCACTCTCATCCAGGCAGTGATCAGAAATAATATGAGATAATTGAGGAAAGAAAGCAGTCACATTAAAAGCTAATTTCACTGGGGAATATAGTTGTGCAAGTAATTGTTTGGTAAATGAGGTATGTTTCCATACAAAAACAGTCATGAACAAGAAACACCTTAATGAGAAATTAAGCCTCTTCACAAAGAAAGCAAAAACAGCAAAATTTGGTAAGTGACTTGCTAAGCCAGAGTATTTATTTAAATTTAGAGAGCCATTTATGGAAGTGAGCTTGGGAGGTTGGTATAACCAGTCTGATCATGGACTCTTCCTTCAGGGCATCAGACTGAACAGATTATTTCTACGGTATAAATAAGTCTTTATGATGTCAGAGGGCAGAGGTAAAAGCACCCAAAATATCAGAACTCTCACTGGTGTTTCAAAATCACTAGTTATGATAGCAAATCTCAGCCTCAAAGGCAATACAGCATGTATCAGACTAAGTGAATTTCTTTGATCTGTGAGCCATGGAATCTACCCAGGATTTCCATACCTACACCCACACATATAAGCTTTAAAAACTTCTTCCTTCTGACAGCAGACTGCGTACCAGAATTTCTGCATATTATGTTTACTTTGCACCAAGCATCTGCCAGAGGGAGGATGCTGAGGGTGACTCATGCATTCCTTCCCGCCCCAGATGTTCAATGCACTTCCTTCCAGCCCATGACCCAAGGCTTGAGTTCAGTTTCCCATTGACTTCAGTGCAGTGACTCCAGATTTACACTACTAACAAACACCTACTTAGCTCATGCCCCGAGCCAGCCACAAAACAGCAGATAAGCAGCACGTGATACGTGCCTAAAATTCCACCAAATGTATTTGACCAACACTGTAATACTGGTGAAGAGAAAACGTGAATACTTCTCATGTGGCAGCAGAAACTGGGGGAGAGATTCTACACTCCACCCTTTCCTCAGCTCAGGGTCAAGGGATCATCCCCAGTTAAGATTTCAAATTTTCTTGTAAAACTATGGCTATGGTTTGGTTTTCTCGTCAGTGAATCAACTGCTTACATTTGGTACGCTGGGTACATTTTCTGAGCTCTGATATTCAGTCATTTTGTTACTAATCACGCTCCAGGAGTTCTCAGTAATAATGGAATTCTGGATGCCACCTGCCATTGCAGGGAAACTTTCTGAACCTATATGATAGTAAAGAATGACTCTTCCCATTACAGAACTGAAGAACACAATCAAAGACTCACGTGTCAATAGAAAAAGAGATGCTGAGGGGTGAACACAAGTCATCAAAGGACTCATAACGATCAAAGCTCAAGGAGGAATCCATATTTTTGCTTAGAATGTAGGGTAGGAAGATGGATGTTGGGTGAAGGTAACAAAAGGCAAGAGCTAACAGAATAAAAACACAATTGTTCAAGAGTAATTTTCACCCTCCTCCCGATCTTTTAAAATATGGGTTAAAAAGACCATTTAAATTTCACAACAACTGTACGTACCACTTCAAAAGAGAACTGGAAAAGGACACCAGGCTGTCCCTCACCAGAGTGAATGGAAACCCTAGGTAGCCAACTATAATGATTCAGATTTACTGTAGAGCAGGACATCAGTATTACAACTGCTCTATATAATCTTACAAGTTCGAAGTCTTTTCTACATCATGTTACAAAGGTGAGAACACTGGGAGAGAGGTTTTCCAAAACCACATGTTGAAAGCACTGGATCACACGGCACACTCCTCTCCTAAATCTCTTTCATTGTGGAGATTCTCTCTGGGTCTATCTGTCAGCTTGTTGATTTGCTCTAGCAGGTAATTCTGCCAGTGTTATCTGCACAGTGCTGTCACAGCAGGCTGTCCAAGGTCAAGGAAAGGAAAATTGTCACCTTCTGATGGATGATGGTGAAACCCAGCAACACTACCTTTTTTGGAAATTAACCATCACTTGCAGCTAATGAGACTGTAACCATTTTGCAATTATAAATTCTCCAAGACCAGAACATAGTATACCACAGAAAGGTCAATGAAAAGTCAGTGGAAAAAGAGTGTATAATCATATTTTCTATGACACCAGTACAACTGAAGTCAAATTCTGTACAACGGAGACCTGTTAGAGCTGACATTTGTGGAACTGCTTAGTCAGATGTTTGCATGGAGTGTTGTTCTTCCACAGATGGAGGATGCTACCATTGCAGAACACACGGGTAATTATCCCAGAGACCTTCTCCTGACATTTCAGCTCTCCTAGGCCTGAGGTGTAAAGAAAGAAAGTATTCACAGGACTTGATGTGTGCTCAAGATTCCTTGGAGATTTCCTTGCCTAATTCCTCATTCGGCCTTTCATGAGTTTGAACAACGTATCCTGTATGGAGTGTTGCTGAGGCAGGATTTGGAACGATTTCTGCAGGGAAGAACCTCACCTCATCCCCTCCTGTACAAGCATTAAGTCAAGGACGAGAACTGCAGTACGAGGGAGGACGGGCAGGAATGTATGCATTTTCATGTTCTGGTTCTGTTTCTGGTTTGTTTTTCTAGGAGGACGTCTATCTCTGGAAACTGGAAGGCAAACACTGGTTCTGCAATGCTGGAACAGATTGCAATGACAGAGAGGTAAGGAAGAGGGTTTCAAGACTAACTATTCTTGGCTTAGAAGGGAGGAATTGTATGTTAGACCTCCATTAATTGAGAGAACTGGTAAGCGAGGTCTCCTGGGAGGCTGGATAAAGGAGTTTAAAAGACCAAGTATTTCCTTAAAAAAATACTAAGGGCACAAAGGCAAACTGTCCTATTTTGGAGAACGGACTGGAAGGACAGCTAGAGATCAACACTGCCAGGTCATTAGATCATTAGTGAATTTAGCCACAGGAAGCAAGACAGGCATAGTAAGGTCAAGCACACAAGTACAAACATGTAGGTACAAAATCAGCAATGTCACAGCACAAAACAAGAAGTAACAAGAAGTTACTCTAAGCACATTACAAATGAAAGGCAGACATGGAAAAACTGTCCAACAGAAGGAAAAATCTGCCAGTTGAAGTGTTGAAAGCATTAGTCTCTCAAAAGTGGACACTTTTAGTGAAAGTCACGCTGCTCAACAGTGCAGAAGGAAATGCCTCATGCATCTTGCACTCTAAACTTTGCAGATGGTACTTCCATATATTCAAATCACTGTGATATTTGCTAATATTGAAACTGCGTGGTATTGTTGACTCATGGTAACTTTTGCTTTGATGTATTTTCCATACGCTTTTCTATAGAACTGCTATCAAGTTACTTGTTCTCCATCTTGCTTTTTTAAAGTAGGTTATTCATAGATTTAAAGAATCCGTATAATTTGTGTACTCAATCAGGCCTAGAGAATCTAAGATTTTTTTTTTTTTTTTTTTTTCAGTTTGTATCTCCCATTCCCCATGATCTTAAGGACATGGTTAATTCTGACTCTGCCCAGGTTTGGGCACCACATTTGAAGAGAGATAACAGTGAGCTGGAGAGAGGTCAAAGGAGAATAAAGGGGATGCTCAGAGTAGAGAATGTAACAATTGCTTATGTAGTATTCCACCTTTTCCAGTTAGCAGACCGCTGATATTTTTTCAGGAGAGGTGTGCACTCGTGCACAGTGAATGTATGCCTTCAGTGCTGATGTTCAATTTCCTTCATTAGCTTTCACAGAGCTGGAAGAAGTTGTTCACAAGCTGAACGGTGCTTTGTCCTAGAGGATAAAAATTAAAGAGCATAAGGTCTTGAAATATATAAAAGACATTAGCCACCTTTATACTGCTAGTGCAGTGTTATAAGAAATAATAAACTACAGCAGAAAAGGTTCACTTGGGCTTAGTAAATATCTCCTAATAGTAAGGATAACCAGCACAAAAAAATAATTACCTGGAGGGGATAGGGGACTTCTGTCCTCTTTCAGACTAGATTACAGAAATGCCTCCTCTTTGGAGTAGAAGAGTTGTGCAGATGATCATATAAGGTCCCTTCTGCAGCTTCAGTTCTGTGAAACAGGGAAACCAAACCAAGCTCCTAATTTGATGCCAAAGGTGATCCTTCAAGACCCTACTATGACTGTGGAAGCTGCACATTAATATGTATCCTGGTTGTTTACAACACAATTGAAGCCAGAGAGATGAAGGGTAGACATTTCTAAGTGCACCTGCTGTCTGCTTTAGTGGTTGGCAACCCTGCCCACAGCATGGGGTTGGAACTAGATGATTTGAGGTCACTTCCAAGCCATTCTGTGATTGCATGATTCTGATTTTAAAGCCCAGATTCCTGCCAACAGACCACGCTGAATTTTGAAGGTTCAGATTATAGTAGTACCACAATTCACTGAGCCTTATCTAGCCACAAATGCAACAAATCCCATTGAAATCTAAGTCATCAGTGCATACAAGGCAGAAGCATGCCAAAATGTTTTGCCAAGTGGAAACAATCTGAAGTACATACTGTACTCAACAGTAGCCCAAAGGATTGACATGTCCAAGTCATACTGGGCAAAATGATAGCGAAACTCCACAAATGCTGCTGCTGATCTGTAGGCATAAAATGCTCCCCGGCCCCATAGCACTGCAAGCAGTGCTTCAGAGCTCAGTGGATGCACAGCTTTCCTCCTCCTCATGCCAGTTAGTTCTTCTCAGGCTCTGCCCTCCTCGCAGAGGCTGGGATGGACATGCTTGGTCTCCTCATTAGGAGCCGTTTTCCCTCAGACATTGCATTCACACAAGTTGATCATTATGCTGTCAAGCCATGGGGACTCTGGCTGGCTTCAAGGATGTAAACTTGATCTTTGGCCAAAACAGCTCTTTTCCCAGTCCCCTCAGGGCCTGCAAAATGTCAGTGTTTTCAAGAGGCTGTGGCCTCCCCTCCCCGCATCTTGTCACAGTCTTGCTTACAGATCTGCTATTCGGAGATTATTATTTTTATTGAAATGCTCAGGACTGCAAAGCAGCTGCACAGGAAATAAAACCAGGACGCCTCGTTCCCTCCTCATTTCCACAGCAGGGGGGGTGCAGTCCACTCAATAATATGCCTCTTGTCATTCCCTCTCCTCCTGTGACACTAGGAAAGCCAAAGGGGCATTCGACAAACCTGGCCTCAGCTCAGAGCAGCTGATAGTCCTATTCTGGGATGGCCAGAGAAAGGGGCTGTAGCCTGGTCTGTGTGATGAGATCACCTGGCCAGGAGCAATGTCCAAGGGATGGGAGGGTGGTGAGGAGCTGTGGAAGGATGGCATTGAAAGAGTGAATTATGAAAAGAGGAGCCACTGGGTAACAGATCACAGAGGGGATGGCTACTCTGCAGAGTTCTGCACTCACTTTCCCATCTTAATGAAGCCCCAGTGTCCTGACCATCTTATCAGGAGAAAAGTTTTCTGCATAATGGAGGGCTTTCAGGCAAAGCCAGTACAAATTCTAAGGGGCCAAATCTTCTGGGAGATTAAATGAGCTAAATATTTATAGCTTGGCTAAATAACAACCGACTGGATATCTGATGTAAATACCAAGGAGGGAAAGAAATGTTTTAAGGTGGCTTTGAGGGCAGAATTGAGGCAATCTGAACTAACAGGAAGCTTCAGACAAAATTCTCTTGTTTTTTTTTTTGGTGCAAAAAATGAGGGCAGAGTATATCAGGAATGCCTTATGATTAAAGGGGCTCCAGAATCTCTTTGTGCGGGCATTGGGATGAGTAACTGTATTGGTGTATCACCAAGGCAGCTAATCTTAGGCCATGCCTCTGTGCTTTCTGCAGGTACAGACTGTGGGTGGATGCCTGTGCGGAAATGTTTGGAGGTCTTGATATTTGTGCTGTCAAAGCTGTCCACAGCAAAGACGGAAAAGATTATATCATTGAGGTGAGAGCAAGGGGAACCTTGGGGAACTGGAACTGTATCTGCAAACACTTTCCCTCAGAGTTTTTATGCACCAATATGCTCGCTCACACCAACATGCGAGGTCCAGCAGTCACTGCTCAGGGGTGCCCACCTGTCTCCTCCAAGCTCTGGTTCACTGATATGCAGGAGTCTAATTCACAGCCTCAAGCAAACTGACTGACTGGTGAGACTTCACCTGGAGTACTGCGTCCAGATGTGGAGTTCTCAGTACAGAAGAGACATGGACCTGTTGGAGTCCATCCGGAGGAGGGTCACAAAAATGACCCAAGGGATGGAACACCTCTCCTACAAAGACAGGCTGAGAGAGCTGGGGCTATTCAGCCTGGAGAAGGATCTGGGGAGACCTGAGAGCAGCCTTCCAATATCTAAAGGGAGGCTGTAAGAAAGAAGAGGACAGACTCTTTAGCAGGGTCAGTTGTGATAAGAGAAGGGGAGATGGTTTCAAATTGATAGAGGGATATTTAGACTGGATATAAGAAAAAAGTTCTCTATGATATGGGTAACAAGGCACTGGAACAGGCTGCCCAGAGATGAGGTGGATGCCCCATCCCTGAAGACAGCCAATGTCAGGCTGGAGGGCCTTTGAGCAACCTGAAGTAGTTGTAAGTGTCCTTGTTCATGGCAGACAAGTTGAACTAGGTGGCTTTTAAGGGCCCCTTCCCACTCAAATGATTCTATGATTCTATAATGGATATGCAGCAAGGGATCAAAATTAAAGTGCCTTCACTACTCACTGTGGACTGTGAAGAGAACTGGAAGAGCTGCAGACTACTTGGTCACCCCTGCTTTCCAGATAATCAGTCCCCACCATGTGGTAACATACCAGCATGGGACAGTTGTGAAGCTGCCTTCTTCTTAAGCACATAGTAGCCTGCAAGTGTTGCCATCAGCACCCACAGTTTGGCATGCCTCACTGTACCAGTGCCCTAGCACCATTCTTCCTAGGCTGAACATTAGCAAAGCCAGCACACCTCTGATAGCTGCTAGTAGGGATCGATAGCATCATAAGAAAACATGCTTAGATTCAGCCCAACCTGAATCCAGGTGCCACATAGCAATATTAACCATGTTACCATCCACCCATTACCCCCCAGTTCAGGTCCAGGAGGTGATTCAGTTCACTAAAAATCTGTTTCTAAAGGAACATGTCTTTCTCCAATCACTTTAAAGGGAACTCAAATAATAGAACTCCTAGCTGCATCTTATTTGGTTGGACTAGATGTTCCTTGTGGTCTTTTCCAACCTAAATGACTCTATAACTCTATGATTTAAGAGAGTAGAATAAATGGTGAGAGTGTAGCATAAAGGTCCATAAGCAACAGGAACAAGTTAATTAAAAAATGAGTGCATTTTCTAAGATTTTTTTGCCTGGACAGCATTCACTAGAATAACCAGCAAGGCAGAGCCTTACAGAAATACAATGGGCAGCATGGTCTACAGACATCTGTGTTCAGAGCCCCATTAATTGCAGAACCTGTGGCTCTGGGAGCTAAGGATCAGTGTGCTCCTCAGCAGACCAGAGGCAGAGATGAGAACGGGCATACAGGATGCTCAGGTCATTTGAACAGGGCAGGGAGGGAAAAAACTGGCCAGAAAATCCAAGTGGAAACCTAAGAGATGCCCTGGGGGAGAGAAAATGTGGCAAGTAAGCAAGTGCCTCTGTCAGTATGTGATTCAAGGAGGCACAGCATCTGACCTGCTGTAAACTCCGCCAACACAGGCCAGCTGAGGAAGATGAGCAGAGCCAGCCTACGGCTTCATGAAGGGGTGCTGACACACTGGAAAGATATGTGTGGGAGAGCAGTCCCACCCGCTGAGGGTTGGGATGCTGATGAGAACCACATGAGCCCTCCAGCGACTGCACATTCCAGCATTATGTATCTGCTCTCCAGGGAGCAGCGACCTGTCAAAGGGCATGTGATCCAAGCACCGTTGCCAGTAATGAAATGCTGGCGAGCCTCTGTCTTTGCTGTAGTGATGAGTCTGCTCCTGTGTGCAATTCATCAGCACCTAGAGGAGCATCCCCCAGAACAAACTGCCTCCCTGCTCTGCACTTGTATATCTCTATGCTCGCGTAGCTGAGAAAGGAAGAGCAAAAAAAGCAGTCTTGCTAAAAACAAGCATAAGGACATTTGGACTGTGTCCATACATGGTCAGATGTGAGATGTGGTTTTCATATCCTCGCATCTATTCCTGCACATAAGCCTATGTACGTGCACACATGGATAATTCTGTGCTTAAGGATTATACGCCTCTGCCTGGATATACCTCTGGTTTTTCACATCTGTCTGTGTCTGTGAGTGACTGCATGAAAAGCACAGCCACCCGCTGACAGCCATCACCACACACAGAGAAATGCACACTAACACTCCCCTCTCTCCAAGTCCAAGGTAAAAAGCAACAGATCTAATACAGCACAAATTAGAAGACACACATTAACTTCAGATGGGTCATGCTGAATTATCCCACCAGAAAACCTGATTGAGCAGCTCCGATGTACCAACACCAGCAGGCATTCAGATGCCAGGCTGACGGACTCTGTTGGGAAAGGAGTAAAGCAGTGCAATACAAATAGCAGAACAAAGCCAAACAGGCATCTTTTCTACTTTATGCAGATCTGAGAGAGATGTTGACAAGTAATTAATTGCCTCCAGCCTATTTCCTGGGGTACTTTTCTTGGTCTGAAACTGATCCTTTATTTTGCTTTTTTCTTTTGATAGTGGGGGAAAAAAAAGAAGTTTTTTGACAGTGCGACAGTTGTATTTTTCTTAGTGAGAAGGAACAGTATGCTGTGACATGTTACATGAAAGCATGCCTAAATGGCCTGAACAAATACGGAATTTGCACAATGCAATTGCAGGCAGTAATTAATTTTCACAGTGCAAAGCTGTTCTCTAGGAAAGAATTGCAGAAGCAGTGATAAGCAAGTCTATGAAATGCAATTTATCACAGTGGTTTATTGCAAACAGAATCAGATTAAAAGAGATGAATTATCAGCAGAGGATAAGAATAATCTTTTACTCATAGTATTTGCTGCCATTTGAACTTCACCTTCATTTCCTTTCCTGTGGCAGATACCAGGACCTATTGCCCTTCTGCCCTTTAAAGCAACAACACACGTGGTCAGTGGGCATGGTGTGAATGGACTGACAGTTGGACTAGATGCTCTTAGTGGTCTTTTCCAGCCTTAATGATTCTGTGGTTCCATAAGTTCCATTTTCATGCAAAATCTACTGATTTCTTCAAAGTTTCACGGCTGTGAATATGATGGCAAACGCTGATTCTTCCTTTTTCTCTGATTTAAAGAACTTCATCATTTTAAAAGAATATTCAGCATGAACATTCCAAAGGCCAAACCCTCAAAATAGCACAGGTTAGGTACCGCTGTTAGCAGCCAGATTCTCAAAAGAGCTCAGCAGTATGTACGGTCTCTCCCCCTTCCTTTTTTGGCAGTCTAACCCTTTTCTACATCTCTGCTGTATTGACAAATATGGAGAAAGTGAGAAACAAGTAAAATGATCCACTCGATGTATTCTTCCTCCTGGAAGCCCTACCTGCCCTGAAGCCAAGCTGTGTTTTCAAAGACATGCTCCCTGCTGGCCCTACTCATCCCTTCACCACCACCTTATCAGTTCTTTTGAAATGCTTAATCATGTGTCCTTCCTTCCTTCCCTAAAAAATCCCCTAACACTCCACTCTTGCACACCAGAGCACAGAAGAGGATGGCCATCCTCTAGGCCTCAGCATCATAGAGGGGCAGGAGGGGAAGTAGGATGGGGTTTTCCGCAGCCTCTTATTTGCCCTACATGCCTTATCAGGCAGCAGCCCCTGCCTCAGGAGCAGCCACTGACCTTGGGCAGCTGTGAAGGCCAGGACCATATGTGTCAATATCTTCTTATTTTGCTCAGCTGCTCTTTGTTTTCCTCAGCATGAGTGCAATCTATCTGTGATTCTGATATTGATAGAATCATAGAAACATTAAGGTTGGAAGAGATCACCAAGATCACCTAGTCCAACCGTCAGCTCATCCCCACCATGTCCACTAACCATGACTCTCAGTGCCACATCCATACAGCTCTTGACCACCTCCAGGGATGGTGATTCCACCACCTCTTTGGAAAACCTTCCAGTTTGTTTATTTTGGCACTGGCTGTTTCCTATGTGTGACTGCTCACCCCCACATTGGCAGCCTGCTCCAGCTTATGCTCCCCTGCCAGACACCACACACACTGCAGGTGCCCTGATCCCTGGTGAATCTTCCTGATAACCAACCTGATCTCCTTCTATGATTAGGTGACGCTCCTAGTGGATAAGGAAAAGGCTGTGGATGTGCTATACCTAGACTTTAGTAAAGCCTTTAACTCTGTCTCCCACAGCATTCTCCTGGAGAAGCTGGCAGCCAGTGGCTTGCACAGGTCTTACTCTCCACTGGGTAAAGAACTGGATTGCCAGGCCCAGATTGTGTTGGTGAATGGAGTTAAACCCAGCTGGTGACCGGTCATGAGTGATGTTCTCTGGGGGTCGGTACTGGGGCCTGTCTTATTCCATATATTTAATGATGACCTGAACAAGGGGATTGAGTGCACCCTTAGTGGGCATGGTGGGGATGGGTTGGTGGTTTTACTAGGTGATCTTAGAGGTCTTTTCCAGCCCTTATGATTCTGTGATTCTCCGGTTCAGGTGGGACCTGCTCCAGGGTTCATTCCCCTACTACTTCTGCTTTATAAAATAGCAACTTCCCCTTCTGCTCCAGCCACTGCTGCCACAGAAATAGGGAAAAGCGTTCTCAACGTGGGGAAATTAGGAGTTTTATTTGAGTTGGTTGTTTCAAACTGAATTTTATCATTGGGAGGGTTAGGGTTAGGTTGGTCTGTCAGCAGACTAATGGCACCATCTAGTGGTCAGATGGGGCCCTCGAACGGTGCCTCGCATGGAGCTGAGATCTTTTTTCGCACGTATGAACTGCAGCCGCCAAACGAGACGGGAATGCTTTTAATGAGGGAGTTGGGGGGAGGAAAGCTGCAGAGAAACCTGCTGGAGGGCTCCCAGGAGCAGTGAGGCACAGGGGCATGCTGGCCATTCCCTGCCATCATGGATTTTACTCTGCTAGGGAGACATATTTTCCTATCTCCCTTTTTTGCAGAGAAACAGACTGACAGTGGAAAGAAAAGTCACTTTGTGTACTGAGCTGAGCATTTTTATCAGATCTTCTGCCTTCCTTCTTTCACACTCAGGGTCGAGTAGCCAGGGATATAAATGCCAACTTCATACAAACTCCCACTTTAAATCTCCTAGGCAGCTTCTCTAGAGTTTGCATGAGCCACCAATAGAAATGAATGCAAATTAATAGCTTTTTCACAAGAAATGGCTAGCATCAACATTCAAATTCATCTAACTGATTTTCCCTAGTTTAACTTAAAAAAAAAAAAAAAAAAAAAAAAAGTGTAAAACCTCCCATTTTACTCACAGCCTTGCAGCCTTGCCAACGTGGATTGCACATCCAGTTGTTATCTGAGCATGTGTCAGTGCCTTTCTGGAGCAAAACAACCTTTAACTCTGCATTTCCAAGGTTCTTAACGTTTGGTTTAAAAATAAAAGCAGAAACAAAATAAACTCTTCCAACTCTGATATTTGGGTACAACTATATTTAATCCAGCTGAATCTTAACTTCATCGTAGCACAGCTCTTCCTGTGGGATTTAGCTAATGTTTGTGAAGAACATTCTAAACAGATTTAGAATGAACTGCAGAAAATGATGTTTAGGGCTGCTATGCACCTGAGGGGTTGCTGTGTTTCATTGTTTTATTGTTGTTGTCAGACCATTTTTTACCTCAAAGACCTTTTGACAGCTCTCTTTACCCCATATCCACAGTTTCACATGCCAGCTTTCTCCAGCACAGTTCTAGTACTTGTTGGGAAGCAGTTGTGTCATGATAATATCAAGAAGAAAGGCAAAGAATAAGTTTATTTTTCTGCATTAGATGCCATCATTTTGGTAATGTTCTATTCATTATGTATCTGTGGAGTTTATTTCTCCTCTCAGGGTGCAGTGTTTTGTGTTTATTAATCCCAAATGTTTCCTGATTTCTGCCAGCACCTGTTGCCTTCATCTCCTCAGACTTCAGTACACTGTGTTTCCATTCTCCTGTGCCTGCATGTGGCCCTTTCTGCTGCAATGTCTCCCCCAAATGCTGTGGCACGATGTCAGTGAAAGTCCATGAGAGTCATCTCCTCAGGAGATGTGAAAAAGCAAGTTTGTGTTTACTTGATTTAGAAAGCCTTCAGACACCAGAAGACTTGGCTTGGCTTTCAGATTGTTAAGGGGTGGAAGATGGGGTGTTGTGGAAGCACTGGAAGGCACTGGCACAGGTTGCTCAGAGATGTCATGGATGCCCCATCCCTGGAGACATCCAAGGTCAGTGTGGAGGGGCTCTGAGCACCCTGATCAAGCTGTGGGTGTCCCTGTTCATTGCAGGGGAATTGGACCAGATGGCTCTCAAGGGTCCCTTCCAATTCAAACAATTCTATGAAGTACACGTCATTTCCAAAAACACCAAAGTGAAATCCCAACCAAATATGTTTTAGCGTGGAGGGGATCGATTACTAGAGGTGTTTGTAAGAATGTCAGGGACATGAAGCATATTAGTGTGATAGGTGATCTGAAACATGCATCCGCCACCAGGAACTCTCCTTATTAACTGCTGCTTTTCTCTCTCTTGGCAGGTAATGGACAGCTCGATGCCCCTGATTGGGGAGCATGTGGAAGAGGACAGACAGCTGATAGCCGATCTGGTTGTTTCCAAAATGACTCAGCTTGTCAGCACTGCTGGATCTACCCCGTCACCACTGAGACCTTGGGTATGAGAGAATAGAGACCTTTTGGTCAAGATGTTTCCTCAAACTCTTTTGTTCCCTCTTCTTCCTGTGTGTGTGAGGTAATCAGAAGTCTCATAGAGTTGAACAGTCCCACATGAGAGTGTGTTGGATAGACTGACCCCTGCTTGCCCTTCCAAAGAAGTCCCTTGCAGACAGCTTGCATTGCAAGCCCCTAAGAAATGGTTTGCTCTCCCTTCCTCCCTTTCTGCATAGCTGTAGTATCACAGTAGTACTGAGGGCATTCTGGCTTGCTAAATTAAATCCCAATTTTTATTGAAGACAATATTTTTAGAGGTGCTTGCAACTCTCTGCTTCACCTCCATCCAATACCCAGTCCTCAGGATAGGCTTCACTCCTGTTTTTGCATCCCTGATGCAAACAGGAGAATGGGGATTTCCATCAAGACTTCTTTCATTTCTCACTGCAGCATTGTTTCTTTGGGGATGACTTTCCCCCTTCATCAGTAGGAGGCTTGACTACTGCTGAATCCATATAAGAACATGTCATTGTAGCATTTAGTGTGCCTCATGGCATATTCAATCTAAAGGTGTATGTGCTACACTTCTTGCAGCATCTAGCAGAGAGCCAAGAACAAAGTGTTGAGGACAACAAAAACTGTACAAAAGAAAGAATGGGAAGAGTAAGCAGGATAAGGGATAACACTGATTGCAACATACTGGATTCTATAGCTTTCTGTCTCTGTCATACAACAGCTCACTTCCTTCTAGACCAGGTCCCAACATGCAGTGTACTCAGAGTAACTCCAAAACAGATTTTAGCTAGAGTGGAGAGGGTAAACATTTAATAGACACTAAAAATGGTTTGGGATAGGGAAAGTGATACAGATGGGATAGGATTTACTCTGGCCAAAATGGAATCAACAAATGCCATCTGAAATAACAAGGATATAGAGTGTATAAATGAAGAGCAAAGGGGAGGCCTGCAGAAACTGAGAAGAAAATGGACAGATGCATCTGTTGTCTATGTCTGTGATATACTGGTACAAGACTGGATTGGATTACAACAGACCTAAAATAGGGCTAAAACAAAAACAAAACAAATGGTCTTGGAAGGATAAGATGTCAAATAGAATATTTAAATAAGAATCCTCATCAAGAATACAACCTACCCTACAAATAATCTGTACACAAGATCAAGAAAATTAAAATCACAAATGTTATAACTACTGTTTTACTATAGAAAAAGACCTGGGAACAGTACCTGCAGAAACTGTACAAACTACAATTGCCACCATAATGTCATAACACATGGTTAAAAATTGACAGAATGCAAGGCAAGTGAGATGCAGAACTGGAGCTACAGTTGTAGACTTCCACAGAATCAAAAAAAACCCCAACCAATTCTTAATACAAGGTGAGCAGTATTGAATACACAGAAATATTAATTCTTGGATATCCAGTGTGTATGCATAGAATATCTACACATTATTGTGGCTATCTGTACAAGTTTCTGGATCAAGAAAAAGTAAGAAATAAGAAACTGAAATAAGAAATGGAAGAAGCAAAAGGTTTTATTGAAGTGAGACTACAGCAATTGAAAAGCAAGTCCAGTAACATAGTAGAACAATATGTCAGAGAAAGTTGACTGTCCTTTCAGGTAACTTCTTCTGGGAACTGCAAAATCCAGTGCAATAGGAAAGAGCAGCTTGACCATTCCATGATTCTATGATTCTGTGATTTTATGTTTCTATGACCTAGCCTTCTGAATCACCCAGATACAAACTGGGGAAGTGAATGTGTAGTACTAGGCTTGATGTCCCAAGAACAGATGTGGTATCAAAAAGTAACTATATGGCACAGACAGATAGAAAAGGTAATTTTAGTAAAATTAAGAAGCTAAGAAAAATCTGCCTAGTATTATAAGCACTCTTTATGGATGTTATTTAAGAGAACATTGTTTTCCTGAATGCATATATACATTGCTGATCTGCTCCTGAATGAGGAATGCAAGAAATAAACTCCTAGACCTAATGGCAAAGTAGAAGGAGACACTGAAAACGGACAAAAAAATCTTCCAGATTTGGAAGTATGGCGTTTGCAAATGTCATATTTGCATACAATCATGCAGGTAACAAAAGGAAACTGCAAAGGGATGGAATTTTATTCTGAAGATCAGATAGAAGGAAGAATGAAGCAATTTCTCTGAGTTCATCAGAAGATGGAACCCTGCCAAAAGATTGCTAAGCTCTGTGGATCATCCAGCATTAAGGGAGGAAAAGAAGACAACGCAGACAGAATGTGGCTCTACTAAATGTAATTGCTGGAAGTGGAGAACTTCTTAAACTATACATAGATTTTCCTGATAAGAAAGATACAGCAGAGAGCAAACTCAGTGATTAAATTAATGATGATCGATATTTTTAAAAATTATTAAGCCTCTGATCCAGCTGGCTACATCCAATGAAACGAATTTAGGAAGTGAATCAGCTGCCAAAAAAGCACTATTTCATTAGAAACAGTTATTACTCCAGAGGATTGATGTATAATACAAAATCTATATTTTAAAAGGCTTTAAGAGTAATATAGAAATATGTACATAAGGAAGCCATAGACCTTAAAAATTATCTCAATAACTAATTTTAAAATTAATACAGAAGACTTATAAACCAACAGAACTGTGACTTAAGAGCATTCACCACAATCTTTTTTTACTGGAGAAAAATGATCCATTTGTCTTCCTTTGATTCTTTGCCCATCAGCAATTTGAGAATATATTCATAAAGTGGTAGATAGCGGGAAGTCAGTCAAAATAATATAGCTACACTGTCCCAAAGCCTAAGGCAAGGTATCAGATGAGCTATTAAAGAAAGCAAGGAAAGAGAGGGACTAAAAGGCAAAGTTTCACTGTGGAACAGAATCTGGCCTTTGATGAAGACGTAGATCGGAGAGATTTTAAATCTTGCAAATAGTTAGCAAAGTGGAAATTAAAGGATACTAAACATGGTCCTGTCACATTAATAACTAGTTATTAATTGGGTTGATTGAGCACAGGACTCCATAGAATCATAGAATCATTGGGTTGGAAGGGACACTTAAAGGCCATCTATTCCAACCCCATTGCAGGTACACCTATAGGTAGATCAAGTTGCTCAGAGCCTGGTCCAGCCTGACCTTGTAAGATGTTAATAGCAACCATTTTTTTCATGGCAACCATATGATATGAAGTTTTATGGTTACAGCTGCAGCTCTCTCGTGGCTCTGCCTCACTTCCACTGTTTCCCCTCTTTGTTTTCTTTGCAGAGGCTGAAGGACCTTGGGTGGCCCTCACCTCTTTACCTCTCTGCCTCAAAATGCTGTTCCGCCTTCATCTCTTAGAAGCCTTGGGTTGGGTGCAGGCAAAGGCTATAGAGGCCAATATGATTCCCTTTCTCTGGCCAGTCTAATCAGGATGTCCGATGGGATTAGGACAGTACCCTTCCACCAAATCAAGACAAGTTTTAGTGCCTCAAGCTATGCAGCACTAGAAGCTATGAAATGGAAAATTTTCTTTGTTTTCCCCCACCACTTTTTGGCATGTCTGAGATAAATAGTGCACAAGATGGGCTGGCAACCACATCACATTTATGCTAGTCAGTTGAAACTCATTTTACTGCGTCCAACTATGAAACATTTCTTCCCATTTCCAAAATCACTTAGCTCATTCTCCTGACCTTCCAGGATCTTCGACAACCCCTTTATCATTGTGTTCCCCACATAAATAATCGGGCACATACCAGTCTATCTGTCTCCAACTTCCCGTGTTCTTTCATAAACAATTTTAGGCAATAGGCTTACACAGACTTTTGTTAACCTTGGACCAAGCTCTATGTGCAACAGTTCTGTGTTGCTTAATCTATTTATTAAAATATCTGTCAGAAAGAGTAAACAGTGAGAGGGAAGAAAGTGCAGATGGCACCAACTTATTTGGGTTAGTCAGAACCAAGAATGGTAGCGAAGAACTTCTGACAGAGCTGTGTATGTTAAGTCACCACAATAGTAAACTGTGCCGGAGACTGAAAAGTAAGCTGAACTGGGGGTAAAGAGAGGGAGAATATAAATAGTAGGTACACCTTGCAAGTCCCACTAACGGTGCCACTTGAGAAAGACATTGTAGCAAACAGACTAATGAAAACCATTACTCAGACTAGGGTTGTGTTGGCATGGGAGAAGCAAGGAATTTGGATGCACAAGTAATAAGCTGGTGATGTATACAGAGAATCAAGATAGTGCTTCATCTGCAATGATGCAAACAGACCTGCTTCTGGCATTTGCAGGAAGGATTGCAAAGCAAGGAAGAGAAGTATGTGATGAAAATGATTAGGAGCCTGGATACATTCCCGTGGAGGGACCAAAGGGATTCAGCCAGTTGGCTTTAGAAAGGGCATAAATCAGAGAGAGGGCAGTAAAAGTCTACAAAATAATGAATGACCTAGCAAAGGTATGTTGTGAGAACTATTCTCAAACTCAAATAATGGAGTTGAGAAGTCTGGAAGGTAGTGAGGCTGAGAGTGGAATAAATTTCAAAGGGTCTGGGTGTCAGTGTTAAAAAACTATCTGGAATTGTTGCAAAGATTTTGTGGAGCAGATAGTAAGCTTCATGTTTTATGATTTACACTGGTCCTTACTTACTAGCAATCAAGATAAGACCTCTTAGGGTATATATATGATTACTCCATAGAGGTTTCTATGTGGTTCACCCCTTTCTCCTTTGGAGCACCTGGTGCTGGCAACTGTCCAAAATGGGACTAAAGAGACCCCTCAGGCCTGATAAATTTGGCAATTCCTGATTGCCTAAAAAACATTATAAACCGTTAACTTCACTGTTATTCCTGGTGAGCAAACAACTTATGCGCTCTTTATTACTCAACTCTTTCAGTCCCTTGAAATTTTACCAGCCAGATGCTGTATGTGTATACTTAGGGAATACTTCAGGATTCCATTGTTCCTATAATACCTCTCAACTTCTCTCTGGGGATTCTGTATTAACAGGAATGGCTTTTTTCCCTTCTTTTTTCCTCTAGCCTCCGCAACTTCAGCCTCAGACAATGAAAATTCAGCCTGGACCTCAGCTTGCACAACTGTCTCAGCCACGGCCTCCTCCCCAAGGTACAGTTGTTTGGGGACCCTATGATCGCACGGACTGTGAGACATCAGTTTGCTTTCCAAATAAAAGCTCTCAAGATAAAGGTCTCACTCATTGCTCCAATTCACTGATGAGCAGGCTGCAGATTCTGTGAGCCATTAAAGGAGCTACTGTAATACTCTGCTGAAGCTCAGAAAGTGAGTTGAAAATCTAGTACAGATCCAGCTGATAACGCTGTTAGGGTCTGGATCAGCAAAGCATTGCCACATGAAGTGGCATTGGAGCAGGGTTTTGGGCACACTGTATACGTGTTTACACAAAGCTGTAGCAGCTGTAAGTGTAAAGAAGCCATAGGAAGATGTAGGTGCTGTCACACCTGGAATAGATACCAAGATGGTGACACCAGGATCCTTGATCCATCTATACACACATTGCCCGGTCACCAAGGAAGAGCACACCCTCAACTTCTCTTGACAGCAGAAGCAGTCTTGACTTGTGGCTTGGCCAGAACAACACATTTGGTTTACTGTCCAGAATTAGTCTGAGGTGTTGAGGAATGGGACTGCTCCATAGGTACCTCACACCACAACAAGCATTCAATTCACATCTAGACCGTCCTTTTTTGCCACCTTTGTCCCTTTCTCCCTTTGCAATCTCCTCTCAAATAAAATCACGCCTCTAATTACCTTTCCCTCATCAGTTCCAGTTTTGCTATTTCTAAAATTTTGCATTCCTAATACCAAATATGGTATTACTGATATAATGACTTAGGAATCATTGGCCTTGCAGGATACTTCTTTCCTGAATGTCCCCAGCATTCCCCTCCAATTCTCTGTGATGTTTTTTTCTCACAGCTCCCACTTTGACCACATGTGAGATCCAATCAGCCTCACAACACTAACTTTTGCCAGCTTTTCACACTGCTATGTCATATCCAGCAATTTCTCCAAGCCAAGGCTGCCTCGGTAGCCTAGTCTTTGTTCACGGCTTTAATGATTAGGATTGAGCTGCATGCAGTTTGTTTCCAATTAGCAAAAGTGACCAAAATAATCAAGTTCAGACTCCGTTTTGAGGGTCTACTACTAATATGGCTGAAGTCAGCTGCTGATAATGCTGGAACAAACCCATGGATAATGATAGGGTGTACAGTTTTGCATCAAAATGTTGGCCCCATGAAGAAACTGTTGACCCAAACCAATCTTCCTTCCCAATGCAAGTGCTTGCCAAGAACAAGAAATATTAGTTACATGGAAAAGTACAGCACATTGAAGCAATTTCCTTTGGGTAGAGTGGCAAAACTTCTTTAATTTTTAAAGAAATAAAGAAATGGACTACAAAAGCTCTAGAGACATGGACATGATACCAGTGCTAGCCTTTATTTTTCTGTGAAATAGGATTTTCCTTATCCTTTTGCACGAATCTGCTCTGAATAGTGTCTCCTCTTAGCAAATATCATCCCTCCATATAGATGCTACTTGCTCGTTTTCCACATGACCTTCCTCATGCTTATTATTTACACGACCCTCCCAGGTGGACCACGCCAGCCTCAGGCATCTCAGCCTCCACGGACAAATGCACCTCCACAGCAAAGGCTCTCTCCTCAAGGACAGCAGCCTCAGAGTCCCATGTCCACTTCACCTCAGCAGCAAAGGTCACCTGGATCTCCACAACAAATCCGATCAGCAACTGGATCCTCTCCAGTCCAGGCTTCCAAGGCAGGCATGTTCCCACCACAGCAGCCCAGACCTCCTGCTCAAGGTCGGGCTCCGAGCCAGCCGAGCCCCACCGAAACATCCAAGCAGCAAGCCACCCCACACCCACATCTGAAGTAGGTACTCTGTTAAACCACTGATAATTGCAGATACTAAAATAAGGCTTTCAAAAAAAGTTTGTCAGGCAAAACTGTTGTCAGGCAACAGTCCCCAGGGACAAAGGCCTGGGTAACTGTGAGAGACTTCAGAGGTACAAATGCCAGGCACAGCTCAGGTCATCAATGAACTGCTATCAGGAAGAAACAGTTGTACTTTACATCTATTAAGACTTCACATTCATCCTCTTGTTCATGTGCTCATTGCTAAATGTGTGCTCTATCCCGACCTTATCAATACACTACTACCTTTCCAGCAGGGTAGGTAATCCTGGAGGTAGCCCTTACAGACTAAGCAGCACATTATCATAGAATCACAGAATGGCTTGGGTTGGAAGGGACCTCAAAGATCATCTAACTCCAACCCCTTCTCTGTAGGCAGGGTTGCCAACCACTAGATCAAGTACCAGATCAGGTTACCCAGGGCCTCATCCAACCTGGCCTTGAGTGCCTCCACAAGGCATCCACAGCTACTCTGGGCAGCCTATGCCAGCGTCTCACTTCCCTCTCTGTGAAAAACTTCCCCCTCTGTGAAAAACTTCCCCCTTACATCTAACCTAAATCTCCCCTCCTTTAGTTTAAAAATGTTCCCCCTTGTCCTATCAATATCTACCTGTGTAAAAAGTTGATTTCCCTCCTGTTTATAATCTCCCTTTAAATACTGGAAGGCTGCAATTATGTCTCTCCATAGCTTTCTCTTTTCCAAGCTAAACAAGCTCAGCTGCCTGAGCCTGTCTTATAGGAGAAGTGCTTCAGCCCCCTGATCATCTCTGTGGCCTTCCTCTGGACCCTCTCCAACATCTCCACATCTTTCCTGAGTTGGAGGCCTCAGATCTGCATGCAGTACTGCAGATGATGCCTCATGAGGGCAGAGCAGAGAGGGGCTATCTCCCTGCTGGCCTCCTCTCTGCTGATGCAGCCCATATCACTGTTGGCCTTCCAAGCTGTAAGGATACACTGCTGGCTCTTGCTAAATTTGTCATCTACCAAGTCCTTTTCAGCAGGGCTACTCTCGAGGAGTTCTTCTCCCAGTCTGTACACATATCTGGGATTGCCCCAGCTCAAGTGCAACACCTTGCACTTGGCCTTCTTGAACCTCACTAGGTTTACACGGGCCCAGCTTCTGAGCTTGTCAAGGTCCCTTTGGATGGCATTCCTTCCTTCTGCCACATAACTGCACCACTCAGCTTCGTGTCAGCTGTGAACTTGCTGAGGGTGCACTCGATTCCATCACCTATGTCACTGTCCTACATCACTGATAAACTTGTAAAAGAGAATAAGTTCCAAGGTGGACCCCTGGGAAACACCAGTTGTCACTGGCCTCCATCTGGACATACAACCATTGGCCACAGCTTTCTGACTGTGATCTTCCAACCAATTCCTTATCCACTGAATAGTCTACCCTTCAAACTCATCTCTCTCCAATTTAGAAATAATGATGCGGTGAGGGACCATATCAAAAGCCTTGCACAAGTTCAGGTAGGTTACATCAGTTGCCCTCTGTGGCACTACTCATACATAAACAGAACTCCAGATGGTGACTATATGTTTAAGAGCACTGATGGAACACTGAATTATTGTAGCAGTCTTTTCTGCCACCCTTGGTGGAATATATCTGACTCCACCAGGGCAGGAGAGTGTTGCAATAAAATGTTTGGTGTTGACCAACCGGATGCAAAGAAAAATTGACACAAACAGACCAGAGATATAATGTAAGCTAGGACTGTAAAGAGAGTTTTTAGACAGAGCAGAAGAGTGATGTCCTGGAACACGTTTTCAGTGATCATGTCAACAATTAGTAAGGCAAACTGAGAGCAGAGGACTAACAGATCAAAATGCTAAGGATACAGTCTCTGTACTATACCTCTTGCAGGACCTTTAATTCAGAGTCCTTGAGCTGAATTCCTACTACGGACAGGAGAAACCACTCAGTGACAAAGCACAGTTGAAAGTAAAAAAAATGGAAATTTATTTCATAAGCACAGACCAGATTTGGATTAAAACATTAGTGGGTGTACACCCAGTGGGGCCAACCAAAAGGCTGCGCACACAGCAGAGCAGACGTGCCAAGGAGGCTAGGCAACAGCATATTTTGTGTGGGACACAGCTACCACTTTGTCCAGTCCCAAACAAGATCACCATTCATGGTGTGGCTGGTGAAAGAAAGGGGATCTTCAGTATAAATCTACTCTTCTGTATTAAGAGTTACATGATTTCAGTATGCGTTGGAAGAGTAGCACCAAATGGCAATTGTATGTTTTTAATCAGATGCCTTCATAAACAGTTAAGAGTTCTGGACTGTGATATTGGAACCATCCATCTCCTACTCTCCCAGTTCCTGGATATCTTAGCATATGGAGATTCTCCTTGCTTCTTTTTTTTTTTTTTTCTGGAGTATCTCTGCAATGAGGCACAATGCATCAGAGTAAACAGCTCTAAAAAAGCACCTTCTCCTGCTGAGTCTGAGTTTTAACTCTGTTTTCCATTTCAGCAAATCGCAGTCCCTGACAAACACCTTCAGCATATCTGAATCATCTCAGAGAGGAAATGCCAATGAAGATGAAGCAAAAGCTGAGACCATCCGCAACCTGAGGAAATCATTTGCTAGCCTGTTTTCCGATTAACAGCCCTGCAGCTGGATCTGTGCTTCGGCCAGCCCTCAGTCTTCGTATAGCAAATATTATATTGGAATATACTCAGTGGTACCCAGCAATTTACACTCAATACCTGGGTAAAAGGAATTGAGAAAACTACAGTTGTTTTAATACGAAGAAGATATTCTGATAACGGCCTGAAAGGTGACTGTATAAAAGTGGCATCATTTCATTGTTTTTTGTGCATAATCAGATTTACATTTGTTCAAGTGACTCAGTTGTAAATCAAATTTTACTCCAGCTAATCCTTGTGGAGACTACAGTTATGACAGTGAAAACTAGATTTTATTTTGGTTTGTATATAGTCCATACAATCACTAACTTCCAATTACAGAATCCTTGTTGAGGCTGAGCTAAAAAGAATATAGGATTATTTCAGAAACAGATGTGCAAAAAACAAGTATTCAGACTGATAAAGCCTGAGTATGGGAATACATTGAACTATGGAACTTCACGATACCAACTTCACTTAAAGTCATTTTTCAGAGTAAGCTACATTCAAATAAGATACAATGCCACGCATCAGTAACTGCCAAAGATCACATGAGCAGGTTATCCAGATGGACTGCTAGTTTGTTCCAGAATACTCTGCTCATAGCAGTTAAAATGTCCATTTCATGCCTTGCATTTATGTCCCCAGCATGTGAATCCCAAGTCTTTAGAGAAAAATGTTACGTTCAAATCCAAAATAACCTGAGAAATGGGCTTTCCAAACACACACACACAGAAAACAACTTCTTCCCTTGCCCCAGGAAACACTGTAGAGTTCAAATCCACAATCCACACAAATCCAAGCACTTTGGTGGCTTAATCACATCTGGCTATGTATGTCTCCTGGGAACATATTTAATTAATAGCAGAGCTGATGAAGTGCACATACTTGGGTGCTGAGTGTTCCATAATACAGATTGGACAGAGAAATGGAGTGAAATCCTGTCTCACTCCTTGAACTCCCACTGACTGGGTCAGCAAAATGAACCAAGTTGACAGACCTGTGACTGAACAGGAATACTGCCATCTAGAAATGAGATGAGCTGGGGTCCATCCAGAGACACCAAGCAATGGGAAGGCATGTATGTGACTTCCCCAAGCAGGTGAGGACCTTCTGGAGAAGACAGAGATGGATCTTTGCTGGCTGTGCTTTTCTTAAGCCTGTAATATGGAATGAAGCTGTATACAAACACACATGCTGCAACTAGGACACAGCAAAAACAGGAATGACACAAACCACGTTCATAACTGAAAAAAAAATTGCAGAAATCAATCTAACTATGGCTACTTCTACCAGCTGAGAGTCCACCCAGTGCATTATGCAAATTCTATTTATAATACACCTGATGAAAGCACCAGTCCCCATCCCATTACCTGACATATGTGAGGCAGGGCTCCAGGAAGAAGCAGGCAAGCCTCTTCCATTCTTCTGTCAAGTATTTGAGCCACAACTCATACACACAGCTTCAAGGCCAGGCTTTTGACTTTATGTTTCCCTTTGCAACTTTACATCAGTTACACTTAGGAATACCAATGGAGGAAAGGAGGTCAGTAAGTTAGTTATAAACATCTGAGCCAGAGGCACAGATCTTAGCTGTCACTTAAAGAGGTCCCCAAATCGGAAAAAACAACAGCAGTATTTGCCATCTTGGATCTCATGATTCACTGGTGGGAATGAAGCCAAACAAGCAATTCCTTCAGCACCTGTAATGAACATCTAGATCCGATGCAGTCATCCGGACCTAATATGACCAATCCGAACATACCTTTACAAATATAATTGCTTTTGTGACCTGTGCACTTTCAGGCAAGTAACTGCATGGCTTTTCCAGCTTGGAAGGCTCTCAAGAGACTCATCTGGATCAATGATTTATGTCTCAAGTTCAGAACTAAAGAACCACTCAAGTCCCTTATGATTTATCCTTTTTTTTTCAGCTCTGTTTTGTCCTTCCAGGTTTGCTAAGCAGCTTACAATGTAGCATCATAAACACATGTCATTGTCTGAGAAAGAAAACAGACCCTGCTGTTTTGCAATCTCCAGGAGCAATAAAAGAGTGACAAATGACTTCAAGCACTGTTCCACTGGCAAGAACAATAGCAGATTAACAAGCTCCACTATATGGACAAGAGGTAATACAACTCTGGTGGAAGAGGATTTCCTTCGATAACATTTCCCTCAGCATGGCTTATGCCTTGCCCTACTAAGCAGTCACCAGAAATGCAAAGACAAATACAGCAGTTTACTGCCAGAATCCTCAATTGTTCCCTCCTACAGATCTTTGTATATCTCTCTTACCAATACATCCTACACACACACACACACACCAAAAAGGAAAAAAAAAAGGTAACTACAAACTGGTGAGGCGTGGCCCCTTCAATTGATTCCAGTTAATCACAACAGTTGGATTATTTGCTGATGCTGCACTTGAAACGCAGCAGGACTGTCCTCCAACTGACTACTGCAACAGGACAGCACTGCTGACCTGATAGCCAGCAACAACTCACATCTCTTCATCTGCCTTCAGCTCCCAGCTGGCACCTTTCAAGGGACAAGCAAACAGAACAGGCTCTCCCCTTGATCCAGCCTCCAAAAATGCATAACAGCAACAGGCACTATCAGCTTATCTTTCCTATTCCTATAGTTGCTGAAAAGCATTTTCTGTTCCGTTCACAAAAGTGCTTTAAAGAACACAGTGAGCTGACATCCTGAATTAGAGATAAAACTCTGTACCATATCCTATAAGTGTTCCAACAGTACAATTATGACACTCTCATACTGGATGTTGTGGCTAGCAGCAGATTCACCACCTTTGATGCCGGGCTCCTATTCCAAAATCCCTACAATCTAACAAAGCAATAGACAGAGGTAATAAAAGGGGTATATTCTTTCTATGAATGGTGAACTAAGGTATATCTAAGCATTATTTAGGTACCTAAATGTAGCAGCTAGAGTTAAAGGAAGTTAAGAAGGCAACAGAAAAGTTGGTAAATGGAAGTTACATATAAATCACAGTGTAGACATGGCCCACAGCATGCCTTGGGGTCTTACTGCTGTGAAAACTGAACACCTGGTCAGAGCATGCTTTCATTTTCTTCACATGGAAACCAGGAAACATGAATAGATGCGTGTGTTTGGAATCAGCCCAAGATGGAGCTGGGACACAACTAAGACACCCACCCATACTCACCACCTGGAAAATGAATTTACATTCTGCTGTTTAGACACAGACTGAAAAAACATCATGTCTTTCTTGTAATATCTAGGTGTGGTATTTCAAGAGGAATGTAACTCATGTTCTCATGCAATTAAACATCTTGTATAAAGCTAAGGCTCAGAATAACAGTTCTGCTCCAATGACTGCAGCTGTACTTTCTTTTCTTTCACTTATCACAGATGGGTATGTAAAGCTTACACCCTGCATATGACTAGGTTATTTAATATGGTCCTCTTAAGTTCCATGAATAAGGTAAAGCAAATTAAAAAAAGAAAGGAGTAACAGTTCCCAATTTCCAAGCGACTGCAGTGCATGCAATGAACGGTACAGGTAAGGAATGGTGGCCAGCCTCAAGCATTTCACCTTTGTGTCTCTTCTGTAGAGTTTGCAAATAGCAATGACACGCACACCTGCCTTAGAAGCTGGTAAATAACCAAGTAAGTGGCTGGTTTTCAAATATTTCCTTTCTTCTGTCATGTCCTTTTATACTGTTGGTACTGAGATATTCACATCGTATTTCATGTGCTGTTTTATGAATTAAGGAAATTCCTCTGTAGGAAACTCAACAATTTGGGATAAGGCAAATTCCTTTATCTCTGGCTCACAATGCCTTCACTACAGTGCAAAAGAAGAGAGGGAACACCTTTCAGATCACTCATTGGTGTACTTGTAATGACGCCTCATTTATTCTCAAACAAATGTCCCAGTGACAAAATCCAGGATAAATAGTATCCATTAAATTTGTATGACCTTGCCTGAGTATTATGTATGCATTTCTGAAGGAAAGATCACAAGGGCAAAATGGTACAAGATACACACAGTGTAGACTTCCATTTTCCTTTAGCTCCACAATGCCTGACTATAGACTTAAATGAAAATTCCACTGGAACAATGCATTTCAACCACATTCAGAAAATATTAAGGCTAATTTTGATATTGAATGGGAACCACTGCCCTCAGGCTCTACTGATACTTATGTGTGATCAATAATGGCAGGACTTGCACTGGTTTTCTGTTGCTCTGAAGTAGGAAAAGAGAAAAAAAAGAAACACAACTTTTGAGAGCAAAAAAAAAAAGCATTATTTTACTCCCACAGAGTTAAAAGGAGAACTTCCTGACCCAACCAAAGTCAGCTGATTTGTAAAACAAAAAGATGAATCACTGAAATGTCACCTGAAAAAGCACAAAAGTATTACTGATGAAACAGCTTGTATTTAATAGGAAATGTAATTCATTGCCATTGTTTGAATTCCAAAAGGACTGTAGGAAGCAATACCAGCCGTCACAACAGTCATCAGTACCATTTACATTTTCAGAAATGCTGAAATAAGCCATCGTAAAAAAGCAGGAAAAAAAGAAATGAAAAGTTCTAACAAAGTTTAGTTATTCCAGTCTTTCTTTAATTGAGCTTCAGTATCAAACTGCAGATCTCATCAGGAAAACTGTAACAGCGATGTTGTTAGTTGTTCATTAGTTAACGAGACAACACTTGAAAGCTCTAACATGCTACAGCATGTTTTCTTCCATCGAGATAACTTTTGACACTGCTCTAATGAAATTAAACAGAATATACTGAAGTAAGAATTCATTCTGTTTCGCCTGCTGTGATCCCACTTCCACTGCAATTGGGTCGACCTGTTTAATTCCTTAGTTAGGCAGGCAGAAAAAACTGCATCGATTTTAGTTCACACACAGTAAATGCGGCCATGTACTATAGCTACTTATTTGTAAAGTCAACCTGTTCAAACAAGGAAAAAGACAAAAGTTTTGCTGCTGGTTCTTTGTAAAATTGCTCTGCTTCTGTTCAGACTTTTGAGTTCTACTGTAGCATGGGTTCACTCAGCTGTTTGCAAAATGAACTGATTTGTGCTCTAATATTTCCACTTAAAACAAAAAAATCCCTTCCCTGTATTCTTTGTGTATTAAGTAACAACATGAAAATACTTTTTACCTAACAAAAAAAAAAAAAAAAAGCAATCTCTGAAAAAATCTATGAAAACACATCTACCATAGCAGTGGTAGTACCCTATTCTACGTGGGATGTGGTAGATTTTTTGTTAAGAAAAATTATTAGCCAGGTAGATTTGAAACGAAAACTATTTTTTTCCTGGCAAATTAATAAAACTCTTCAAATAAGACAGAAAAAGATAGGATTTGTATTTAAAGTGCTCTTTATCTGATGCAGCAAATACTTAGTATCCTTCTAATCTCTAAGTAGCACAGGTGATTAAAGAGGAGAGGTGGGAGGGAAACAACATGTATTGTTCTAAGTCATAGCCCATCTTAAAAGAGACCTTAGTGCCTGGTACTGCACTATTACCAGAACACAAACAAACCCTAACTCTGGGGTCAAAACATTACCGTGCAAACAAGTTCTTGCCACAATCTGAAGAGAAGGCAGATGTTAGTGCCTGGGTTTTACAACGTCCTGCAGTTAGAAAGCAAGCTCAGGAACTAGAAAATCCACTGAGGGAGAAAGCAGCAATCAAATGAATGCACGGCGAACGTCCGTGGGGCGGCCCCGGCTGGGTCTAGGTGGAAACCTGTCATTGGGACCAGCTCGTCCTGGAAGAGTAGGGTTTGCTTCAGGCAAGGAACCAATGGGGTCAAAATGTGGTCTGAATGGAGGAAACTGGCTTGGTGCTTCCCCTGGGCCAGGAATGAGTGAATTAATTGGGTCTCCAATATACAGAAGCGTTGGTCTCTCACCATATTCTCCAATGATCATGGGGGGGTAGATTGGGTTTGATGGGAATGGGTTGGGAGGAAAGGGACTAGGATAAAATGGGTTGGGATGAAAGGGAATTGGATGAGGTGTAGGGGGCAGAAACATGTGCCTCCATCTCAAGGCTTCCTTCTTCTGTTTCAACTTTTTCTTGTATAGCTGCAGACAGAAACAAAAGTATTTTAAGGTTCTTTGTCTCTTACCGATGTTCATTTTCTCCTACTCCAACCAAACTCAACTTGTGTTTATGGAACACCACTTTTAAACTAAAACTTAACTCAAAACCACAGCCTCCCAAAGTCTCTGTTTTAGCCCTGAAGTTTTCCCATGTAGACTAATCTCAGTGAGATTATATAGAGAAGCCACCTACTTCTTTCCAGTCAGTGTCACGAGGTCTTGCAATGGGATCTACAAGAGAAGCACAAAATCAAAATCAGCAACCTCTTTTAAGTAAAATTCATGCCAAGGATTTGTGGGAATATGCAGGAGATGAAAAAAACATCTCTAGTCAATACATCTTACATAGAGATAGTATGTTTAAAAAAAATAAAGCTGCAGGACCATTCAGTATGTGATCTACTCATATTCTAGATAAAATACCATCTCCAAAACTTGTAGGGAATCCCAGGAATATTATTCCCATCTTTGATTTGTAACAGCACTTCTCTTTACCACCTTATTTCTTCAGTCTCTTGTGAGGAATTCTAGCAGGAATATCCCTTCTCTCCACTCTCAAATAGCTGCAATAGCAAGTACATCTAAGTAGCAAGAGAAACAGATGAAAATAACTAAAGTTTGTACCACATGATGGGCAGAACTGTATGGTCCATGAGAAATGGCTCAGACAACTTTTACTATTTTTCATGACAGAAAACAGGATACCCACCTGAATTACATCTAGCCCAGTGGTACTGGTTAGTATCACTAATGACTATTTGATGCCCGTATTTAAAAATCAAGAGTGGTTACCTGAGGAACCTCTTATCAAAATATAAGACCTAACTACCCCTGTTCACATGAGAATGAAATTGAAGGAAACGTGTATCACCATTACCTCTGAAATCTCGCAGATACATAAACCTCCACAGAAGCTGATCATTTGAAGCTGCATAAAGATCACGGCAAACAGCAGACAGAGAGATGAGTGAACGGACATCCAGAAGTCTAAAAATCCGAAGCTTCAGCTCAAGAGGGAGCACCACCAACCCAAAAACATCTGGCAAGTTCAGAGCTACAAAGCAGAGGAAATAGAAGAATTACCTAAATGGTGCAAAGCTGATGACCCTGAAGAAAAGAAGGACATCATAACCCTTCCCTTAAATCATTCCCCTTTGATGTCTCAGTTAAATAACTTTTTTCCAAAAGCACCATGATGTAACTTCTTAGAAAACTGATCTCTTCTGCCTTGCAGTACATTTATGGAGTTCATGAAATAGGCCAAATGGCATTTTATACCAAACACTACTGACTGCTGTAAACCTAAGAAACATGCTGCATGCCTAACTATGTTTACAGGCTACACAGAACAAAGGCTAAAGGAAAAAGGTCTGCCTGATTACAAGAGTCCATAAAAAAGATATTAAATACACAGCACATGTTTCACATCAAACCTGCTCACACTGAAGTGTAGAAGGAATTCCACTGTGTCTTCAGAATACTAGGCTACTCTTTTATCTATACAGCATTATCTATACACAAAAAGCCTGATTTCCTACTGCTTCACAAACTCCAGCTAGGATTACTTCTTCCCATTCCTTCCAAGCCCTCAATAACCAGTTACTAAGAAGACTGTTCTTGGAGTCAGACTTCCAAATACGAGGGTTGCTCCAAAATTAGTGCCTCCTATTTTATTATGTTGGCCAAAGACATTAAGAGGCAGATATCAGTAAGGCAGTAAAGCACGAGTGTACAACCTTTTGGCTTGCCTAGACCACACTGAATAAAGAAGAATTGTCTTGGGCCACGTATCAAATATATACTACAGTTAGTGTATATAAGTAACAATTTTTTTTTAAAATTAAAAAGAGCAACAAAACATAAAACTAGTGCAATATTTGCTGTTGTTTCAGTGAAACTAATGCGTCAGTCCAAATCAATTGAATTGATTGCAATTCTTAATGAGTTCTCAAGGTGCTTGTCAGAGATTTCTGATTAGATTTTATCCTTCCTGTATGTATTGTCAAAAAGGGATGACAGGAATAAGGCGTGATTGTGAAGCAGAGGTATTCTTCTCTGCTGAGACAGGTCTTAGAAAAGTCTAGTAAAGTGACACAATCAATATCTGATTGCAATTTTATACATTCCATATGAAAATTCACAGGTAATGCATTTATGTCAACTGAAAACAGAAAAATGACAAATATGAAAAAAATTGATTTTTTTTTTTTTTGCAATCTTCTCAAATTCCTTCATCAAAACAGAAAACTGCAAATATTTCACTGTTCACAGGGCAGTTTAGCCAATGTATCAAAATGCTTAAAATTATTCACCATAACTTCAGTTAGCAATTCACTGTGGCCCCAACCCCTGTGTCTTGAATTCAGTGTCAACTGCACAAGTCTGGCTGCTGCTGAGCCATGAGTGCGTGCCCAGGGCTGGG